AATCCACCTCAAAAAAAAAAAAAAAAAATTTCAGTAGTAGAATCATTGGGTCAAATTACCCTGGCTTTAAGTTCTGGTTCAGAGAATTTTAACAACTTACACTGTCACCAGCAAGGTCTTTGACTATATGAGCAACTCTCACCTTAAAGTATTTCTCATCTGACATTAGCTGCCCGGCTTTCCACTGATACGTTGACTCCAGGAGGCTCCTTGAGTTCTGCGTGTTCGGCTGGCCTCCGGTGGCCCCATTACTATTTTCTGCCAGGTAAATGTCAGTTACCTGCACACAGATCTCATCACTCATGATATGCTGCAGCTTGAATCAAAGGCAAGCTGTTAGTGAAGACAGAAAACATTTCTCCACTACACAGTCAATGTTCCTTTAACTGATCCAGTCACTCCACTCAAAAAAGGTTTTGGGTTTTTTTGGCTGGCAATTTTAGAAAATTAATCACACAAACCACTGTATCATTTTCTCGGAGAATAATCAAGCCAAGATTTTCAACCATATCAGTGGTCCATTCATATCTATTTAAAATAAAAATCATAGAGAACTCAGGTTAATGTGCTGTTTAAAATTCTAAGGCTCTTTAAATAATTTTCCATGGGTAATATTTTTATTGCATTTTAAATGTAATAATTTGCTTTTACAACAATTAAATTAAATGCAACAATTTGCTTTTACAAATATTCTCTCTCATTTGATCCTCACAACTACCCTGGGAAGCAGGTTGGAGAGAGAGTTGGGCCTGTTAGGAGAGAGATTCACACAATGCATAAGAAAGCTCACTGTGAGCCAGGGCAAGGAGGGGAGCCTTGGAGAATCATGAATGCAATATCTATGTCTATATTCCCAGACCAACAGCAAAGCCTGAAACTCATTAGGTATTTAAGAAATAGCTGCTGAGTTATTGCCTAGGGGTGCTCAGCTGAAGAAGCAGGGTTGGGACTAACAGTCAAGCTTCCTGACTCCTAGCCCAATACTTCTCCAAACACACCACTTATTTTTCTATATCTGATAGAAAGTAAAGTGCTTAAGTTGTACATAATGTTAACTCACTTTCCATACATGCCAACCATGATTGACTATCAGTAACTTTTGTGACAATCTTAGGAAACTAATTACTAGAAAGTTGAACCTTTCAGAGTTCTCATTCTCATGTCATATACTATTTCTATTGTGAAATAAAAATCCTTCCAAATGGAACTTTACCCATCAAAATGACAGAGAAGTGAAAAATAGATACAAGAAGAAAGCAAAATGTTTATTTCAATATCGATTTGACTATTTTGCTGTAAAATTATCATAACCACCAAGCCATTCTATTTTTAGGAAGATACATTCTTTTTGAAGTCTTAGGAACTATGATAACTATTTATTTATTTAGTTATTTATTTTGGAGACAGAGTCTTGCTGTGTCGCGCAGGCTGGAGTGCAGTGGCGCAATCTCAGCTCACTGCAAGCTCCGCCTCCCGGGTTCATGCCATTCTCCTGCCTCGGCCTCCTGAGTAGCTGGGATAACTATTTATTCTTAACTTTAAGTCCTAAATGATCAGTATGTATATTAGTAGATAACTGGACACAGAGCAAGGTCAGAAGGGTGACTGAGTGTGGCAGAAAGGGCAGTATCTCCAGTATTATCTGGACAATGAGTCCAGATAATGGATTCTGATACAACCATTCAAATAATGCTTATGAGTACTTGATAGCAGGGAAAAGCTTAAGATACAGTATTTTAGAGAGAAAAAAGGCAAGTTGGAAAAAAATATATGGAAAGCATGACTTCAGTCATGCATAGAGATGCTTCTACTTTAAACCCTTTTTTTTTTTTTCTTTTTGAGACAGGGTCTCGCTCTGTCGCCCAGGCTGGAGTGCAGTGGCATGGTGATCTCGGCTCACTGCAGCCTCAACTTCCTGGGCTCAAGCAAGCCTCTCACCTCAACCTCCTAAGTAGCTGGGACTACAGGCATGTGCCACCACACCCAGCTAATTTTTTGTATTCTTAGTAGAGATGGGGTTTTGCCATGTTGCCCAGTCTGGTCTCAAATTTCTGAGTTTAAGTAATCTGCCTGCCTCGGCCTCCTAAAGTGCTGGGATTACAACACATAAGCCACCGTCTCTACTTTATACTTTCTTGTTGAAGTAGACTGTATTACTGATTCCCCACCCATGCCCTCTTTTTGGATATCTGGCTCCTCCTCAAGTCTCTGGAAAGGGCAGCACTACAAATCCAGGGACAACTAGGGAACTCCCACCCTCGCTGCTAGGCAGACCAGTCTGTGGCTTACAGTTTAAATAGTTGGAAGAAGGACCTGAAATTTGAGGCTGGGGAGGGAGGTATGGGGTTCTAGGCAAGGGAGGCATTAGGCCTGGAACAAGGGACCAGGGGCCTGGGCAGGCCACAGAGCACCACAGTGCCCTCACTACCCTATTAATGGGCCAGGAATCTGGAAGCTAGCCACCACATGCCCTCATGCCCAAGGTCTTCCTGCAGGTGGAGCTGAAGAGCCAAGAGGCTCAGAGCAGCGAGACCAGTACCCGGGTCACTGCAGCAGTACCTGCTTATCAGCAGCAGGTGGCCACTTATCAGCAGCTGACCTCTGAGAACGAGGTGCTGCACAGGTAGTTACTGCTGCAGACCCAGCTCCTGGACCAGCTGCAGCAGCAGGAAGCTCAGGGCAAAGCGGTGGCTAAGATGGCCCGCCAAAAGTTGCAGGAGACCCCGGGGAGGGAGTTGCTGAGGACAGGGCCCCGAGAGGGACAACCTGGCAACCTCCGTGCCTTCTCACCCTCTTTCCTGGCCTCTTAGGAGCACCTGGAAGCTACCAGCCAGCAGAAACAGCAGCTAAAGTCCAGTTGAGCCTCATGGTTCTCCCTGGGGAAGGTACTGGAGACCACACGGAGGAAGAGGCGAGAGCCCCGGGAGGAAAGGGGGACTGTTAGCAGCATAGGATTGAGGAGTTGGAAGAGACGTTTAAGACAGCTGGTCATTATGCCGACCGGGTGTCCGTGCTAAGTTCGGTATCAATATGGTGACCTCCTGGGACCAGGAGGCCATCAGGTTGCCTAAGGACGGGAGAACTGGCCTAGGTCAGAAAGGGAGCAGGTCAGGACTCCGGCACCAATCGGTAGTGGGACTGTGCCTGGGCAGTATAGCAAGATCTTGGTTCTTAAAAGTAATAGTACAGAACAGCTCATTCCCCTCTGGGAATGGGCTGGCTCAGGGCTACACAGTGAGGGTGGGGGCAGAGGTGGGCCCCCAGTACTTCCCTTGTTGGGTTGTCTGAGGACCCTTCTGGCCACTCCCTAGAAGAGATGGAGGAGGACATCTGGACAGTGAGGAGGAGGAGGCACCTCAGCCCATGCAGAACATCCCAGAGGACCGGGAGAGCTGGGAGGTCAGGTGAGCCTGACTTTCCCTGCCCCTACTTTGTCACCTTCCTCGGCGGTCCCTCCCAGATCCCCTTATGTTCTTGGTTTCCCTACCTTCTGATCTGTGGACTTTCACTCCTTCCGGGAGCCAGTGGTCAAACACCATTTCACCTGTGACCAACAGGTGCACACTCTGAGCCCCAAGGGAAGGGGCTGCGCTCCACCTCCCTGCCCCGGTTGTTCTGTGTATGTCCCTACAAGAATACTCACCTCTTGCCTTCAGGTGACATTTTTCAACGATGCTGGAGCCAATGCCCAGGAATAGCAAAGGGTGTGCTGCCAGCCCCTGGCTCACCCGGTGGCTTCATCCCAGAAGACCCCAGGGACTGGGGGTGAGTCTGTGTGTGGGGAGACCCACCGAGCCCTGCAGGGGGCCATGAACGGTGTGGGTGGGGCAAGGCAGGTGGTTCCTGAGATGTGACCACATTATTTTGGCTTCAGGACGACTTTATGGAGGAGAAGGTGGACATGAAGGAGCATGCCGAGAAACTAGAGCTTTCACTTCACTTTTACCTGACACATATAAATGACTAGGAATGACCTTCAGATAGTGTTTAGCATCTGTAACCTATCTGGCAATAATGTGTTCATCAGGGACCTCTGGATTAAATCACATACTGGCATGTTTAAGCTGAATGTCAGTCTGAAAAATAAATGTGCTATATTACCTGAAATACCACTCTTTGTGTAGGAATTTTGTCATATGTTTAAGAAAAAGCTAAAAAGAATGGAAATCCTGTGACAATAACTTAAGTCTTTCTTCAAAGTGCATGCAGTCATTTACAATACCTCATTCAGCCAAGTATTTGTTCTCTTCCTCATTCAGTATAAGGCAGCTTTCAATTTGCGTAGAAGGCAACATTAGAAGGTTAGAGTTCAGCAGAAACAGAATTTTAAAATGTGAGTTCAAACTAAATAAATGTGAATTTCTGTAGGAAGTGAAGAATCAAAATATCAATTTAAAGACTGCAATATATGATAATTATTTTTAAAGTATTTGATTAAACCTGATACGTTTCTCTGAAATGAAAAAAATCAGTTCTAAAACCAAAGGTGAGTTTTATAAAACATGAAAATGTAAATCAGCCCTATCCATAATACTTTCTCTAAAACTTTATCTTACAGTCACTTTCAAATAACTATTCAAAAACATAACTGCTATAATAACATCTTGAAATAAGTTAAAACATTTTTTTTTTTTTTTGAGACGGAGTCTCGCTCTGTCGCCCAGGCTGGAGTGCAGTGGCCGGATCTCAGCTCACTGCAAGCTCCGCCTCCCCGGTTCACGCCATTCTCCTGCCTCAGCCTCCTGAGTAGCTGGGACTACAGGCGCCCACCACCTCGCCTGGCTAGTTTTTTGTATTTTTTTAGTAGAGACGGGTTTTCACCGTGTTAGCCAGGATGGTCTCGATCTCCCAACCTCGTGATCCGCCCGTCTCGGCCTCCCAAAGTGCTGGGATTACAGGCTTGAGCCACTGCGCCCGGCAGTTAAAACATTTTAAAATAGGAACACTGTAGTGTAAAACAAAGAATCTAGGGGAAGGAAAAGTAGAGAGAGAAATGCCAATTCCAGTCCAAAGCTTTATTTGCCAAGTTTTCTTGGCAAATAATTTTACCAACTTATGATTTTTTGTAAACAGAATGTATAATGGAAATACTGACTTTTGTCTAAAGTGGCATTATTGACTTCTGTGATGCTACTATAATGTAATAAATTATGAAATTGTTGCAAGGTGCTGTTTTTGCCTTAAAATTTTGTGTGTCTTGAAAACTATAGTGTTAAAGGTATTGAGACTGTGCAAATGTTGGGCACGCTTGTCATGAGATAATCAGTTTTTATTCTCACAAAATTGTAACTATGTAAGTGTGTTTATTAAAAGAACATAAACTAAAAAAGTTACAGGAATTAAAAGTTGTGGGATGGAAAAGTTATGGGATAAAAAATATGGTGGAAAAATTGTGGCAACAAGTCCAAAAAAAGTAAAAAAAAAAAAGTTGCATGAAAGGTTTTTTAAAAAAAGTTATGAGAAAGAAGTTACGGGAAAAAGTCATGGAATAAAAATAAATAAAAGCAAATAAAAATAAATAAAAGCAGGCCCCTATCAGCATAAGTCTGGAGAAATGGGTCTGGAGTCTTCACCCCACCATGTCCCTACAACCCCTTCCCAGTCACCTTTTTACCATTAGGTAGCAAGACAAGACGCCTGACTAATGGAGAGAGAAAAACAGACCCTTTACTACCTTGACCAAGGCTGAGTCCTTACATTTCTGGATGATGATGTTTGTTATTTAAGAGCCAGAGGTTGATAGATTTGGTTTGTTTGTAGGAGGTGCGATGGCCTCCTTACTCTCACCAAGGCAACTTTTCTCTCGGGGGCGCTCCCATCTTCTTATTCAGAGAGGCATCTGAGGCGGGACAGTGGAGCTAACTGTAGACCAGGCGAGGGCACAGGCTGCTAGGGGTGACCCACCCTTCCCCCATGTATATACTGTATCTGTGTAACATTCTGTATGTATCGTACCTAGCGGAGGTTGCAACTGGCACATGAGGAAGAGGTTCTGATAGTTATTTGCAGCTGGGAAACTTATTTATTGCTAGCATAGGAGCGAGGAAGGAGGCGGGGATGGAGTCATGGCTCCCCGGTGATGGGACTCCTGTTTTCTTTGCTTTTTATTTGGGAATAAATGGATTTAGCTATACTGCTCAGCCTGGTATGTTCCCGTTTCCCTCAGTGGGTCCTGCAGTTTGTCCCATTGAAAGACGAGCCCCAGAGTGTCTGAGCATGCCCAGTTGGGCTGTTGGGAATCTTCCAGGCCTGTTGCCTGGATGCTGCCTGGTGACACCTGGTGGATTTCACGGGGACTGCCATGGTGCCTAATGGGCACAGTGCAGCCCTGACAGCCAACAGGTTCAGAAGACTGATCTAGCTGTGGCCGGGAAGACAACACCAGCACCCGAGGGCACTGACTTTCACCCACCCCAGGTGTCTTCCATTCTGTCCCCCTGCCTCCCTCTCCTGTCTGCACCGGGTGGCCTGTCTGTCCCTCCAGAGTGCAGGCTGCCCCGCAGCCTCCCTCCAGGTTGAGTTCACGGCCCTGCCCCCTAGTGGCCAGATCCGGCTTCACAGGATAAGAACCAGCTAAGCTCCAGGGACTTTCTAGGAAAAGTGTCCCTTGGAAAGGGTGTGACCTTTTCACCGCTCCCAAAAGCACCCTAAAAATGGCTTGGACTTTTCCCTCCCCTGAGCTCCACAGAGAGCACAGCGAGCAGAGGACACATTCTCTGTCATCCAGAAATGAGTTGGAGTCTCAGCCGAGGGACAGCAGGACTGGAAGACTGTCAGTCCACACAGCTGCCTGCACAGCACCCCCATGCTTTCCCAGGAGGTGGGAAGGATGGCGGGGACTGGTTGTCCACAGGCCGGGCATGACAGGGAGGCTCCCTGGAGGTGGTGCCCTTTTGAGGGGCAGTGTCAGGAGACAGCTTCCTCTTGTTGGGCCACAAGTCTCCACAAGGACAGCACGAGGACTGATTCCCAGTGCTAGAGGCCAGGCAGTTGGCCACGTGTGTGTGTGTGTGTGTGTGTGTGTGTGTGTGTGTGTGTGTGTGTGAGAATTTATTGCTATTTATAGAACAGGGCAGGGGCATACCACAGAGGGGGCACAAGTTTTCAGCAATGGTCACAGCTGGATGTGTCAGCTCACCACTACAACAGACTAAGTCACAGATGAAGGGGGCTGGCTTTGGGGCTGGGGGAGCCACTGTCAAGTCACAGGACACCCACCCAGGCAGGCTTGGAAAGGGAGGTCTCTGAGAAGAGGAGGGATCTGTTCAGAGGTCGAAGGGGGACCTGGGGCTCTCAGGACGGGATGGACTTGCCTGACCCAATCAGCTGGCATTGGAGAGAGCGCAGAGAGAAAACAGGTTAGAGAAAAGCCAGAGCTGGTGAGGCAAGGGCAGAGCATGGGTGCACCGTAGCAGCTGTGAGAGGGCTGGAAAGGGGAGGGTGTAAGTGTGGGCATGGCAAGGTTCCTGGAAAAGAGAGGCTGGAAGGGAAAGGGAAGGAAGATGGAGGGAGAAGCCAGAGCTTCGTAGGTAGTGCCCGGGGGCTGTGGCGGCCCTCCCCACCCCACACACGCTGACCTCTCTCATGGCACCCAGGCAGTCCACCCACAGTTCAGACCAATGCCAGACCCCAGGACTTCCCTCTTCTCTGGTCACCCTGTCTTCCAACCCACTGGGCCAGGGCCACCCCTTGCTTGGGGAGCCCCACCCAACAGCCACCAGGCCTGATAGAGAAGGAACACTGCTTGAAACAAAATGGTGAAACTATAAGGGGATGGCTGGCTGAAGTGAGCGCCAGAGGCCCCTCTGGGTAGTCAGAAAGCCCAGTGTCCTCTGAGGGACCCTGGGGAAGGCAAGGAGGACAGGTAGCTGGATGCCACTGGACATAGACTTATAAGTCTAAGAGGGGAGCCTCAACTGGTAGGCAGGGGGCTGCAGGTTGCATAGGTGAGGCTGGGCCCATCCTGCTCAGAAAAGCAGAAGAGGAAGAGTCCATGACAGGACAGGCAGGTGGGCTCGCTAGGCGGAGCTCGGCTGGGCCAGCAGCCACTGTGGTCTCCTTGGCTGAATAGCACAGGCGACCCCTAGGAGCAACAGGCCAAGGTGAGTGAGCCTGCTGGTCGGCGGTAGTGCTTCAGCGGGGGCCAGGGACCCTGCCTTCAGTCCACACGAGCAGCTATGATGGTACCTGGGAGGGAGGGAAGGGGGCTGTGTGTCCCTGCCTGGTCTGTGAAGTGTGTTGTGGGATGACCGTGTGTATGGGACTCTCAGGCTTTTATCCTCGATCACCACTGGATTGCTGACAGATAGAGGACACGGGATCCTATCACCCTTAATCTGCAGTGGATTTGGCTCTCGGCACTCCCAGGCTGGGAGCTGGATACCTGCCCTGGCAGCATGATTCAGACTGCATGACAGGTACAGCATGCCCAGGATGATGTGCCTAGGCCTCTGGCGGCCTCAGAGTCCAGCACTACACACAACCCGCTCCAAGTTCCCAGCCCCTACACCATAAACCATGAGCTCTGTGTCCTCTCTGATGGTTCCATGTCTGCCAGTTTGGGCATGGAGCCTGTTCTAAGAGCCGCCAGGCTCAGCCATGGGGACCTTGAGCAGTGGCACTGAGTCCCATGGCTTGCAGGGAGGGAAGTGAGACAGCCAGCAGCACAAGGACAGAAAGAGGAAAGAGCAAGTCTGCAGCTCCAGAAGGGAGGGGCAGGGAGCCTGGTTCTGAGGTCCCAGGTGTGCCCCCCGTGTGGAGCTGGGGCAGCGGGGCGGGCAGACCTTTCATGCAGTAGGCAGCAAAACATGTACCTACCATGGCTGACGCTCCTCAGGGAACACCGATAATGATTCTGAAAGACAGCATCAAATCACATGGCAGGTCACACGCATGGGTGGGGCAGGCCTGAGGGTGGGGGACACACATGCACACGCCGGAGTGTGCACACACATACTGTGAGGCCTCGTGGCCTGCATGCACACACTAACACACATGCCCACAAACAACATGCATACGCCGCCTTCCCCGCCACCTCCAGGTGCCCAGCACCCTCACCGGCCCGCATGTGCCGCATGGATCTGGGACATGCAGCCACACGGCACACTGAAGCACATGCGTGGGCAGAGTCACAACACAGATGCTCGCCCGCACACAGAGGCATTTGCACCAGCTCCCTGCACACTCGTGCCTGGTGTGCTCAGAGGACCACCCATGCTGCTCATGGAGACGGGGCTTGCTCACTAATGTCCAGCTGTCATTTCTCCACCTAAGAGCCTTCCATGGCTCCCTACTGCCTACAGCATTGAACCCCAACAAGTCATACTCTTCAGACTTTGAAGGTTCTCCACCGTATGCCCCACCTTCCCCACAGAGCTCTTCCTCATTCTGTCTGTGTTCCCTGCTTTGGCCGGGGGCTATCCTCGATGCGACCCACACTACACCTCTGCCCATGGCAGCTCTTTACCCAGTTATCCTCCAATTCCTCACCACATAAGCCTATCTCAGTCATGCCCCGGACTGCATTGAAGCCAGCCTGCCTTGAAGCAGCTCTCCCAGACTGCCCTTTTCCCCAAGGTAGGGTCATGATTTGTCAAAAGTTTAGCGTGTGTTAGCAAGACTGGAGTCGGAGCAGGCATCAAACCTTACATTCCACATGTCACACTTCACCATAGACCTGGGTGCCAAATAGTCTGAAGAGTCTGAACTCACATTGGCAGTTAGCAAAGTGCTCCTATGGCTGCATCTGCAGTTAATACAGCATCTCTATGGCCACTGCCTCCCTGGATCTCCACAGCCATCCTCGGAGAAAGGCAGAACATCATCATTTGATAGAGGAGATACTGGGGCTCTCGCAGGGAAAGGGACTTGCCTAAAGCCCCAGGATGAAGCAACAAATCTGGACTCTCACAGACAGCCTAGAGCTGCCGGCATTCCCTTAAGATCTGTGCCCTCGGGCCTGGCTTAATTTTTTCCTCTCCAAAGAGCCATTTGTAGCGACAGAGGTTGGCAAAGCCTGACTCATTTCTGGATGCCAGTTCCTTTGCCTGACTTTCAGTGATTCCTACCTTACCCTGGGGTTTTGTGTTTCTTGTCTCAACACTATCATTTCTCATTCCTCCACAAGTTGAATTGCTCACTCCCACCACTTGAAGCATGCTCTTCTTGACACAGTTAACTCTAGGCACATGGTTGGTGCTTAAAAGAAAAAAAGAGCATTATGACAATTTCATTGATTAACAAAAGTGATGGCTCCACTACAAAGTAAAGTAGATACTGCCTGGGCCTCTGAGTTCAAGAGGCTTTTAGACAAATGGCTCTGAGCTAAAACATGAGCATGCACGCATCCGCATCTGTCTCGGTCTGATGAGATAATCTGGATGCTTAGTTGTTATCCTTGAGCATTTTCCTGCCTCATTAATGCATGTGTAGCCAGCACAACAATAATGTGCTAATAATGGCTAAAGCTGAGGGCTTTCCTAGGCCAGGCAGTGGCATGAAAAACTTTAACGTGGCCTTTAAAACTTGAACCCCTAAAGCTGAGGACTTTCCTGAGCCAGATAGTGGCTGTAAAAACTATAAAGTTTTCACATAGACTCTCCTTGAATAATTTCTGTTTTTCAGATCAAGAAACTGAGACTTACTATCACATTTGGGATTTAGTTTAAAAAAAAAAAAAAGAAAGAAAGAAATTGAGGCTTAAAGCCGTCAAGTATTTCAAAGCCAGCAAGTGGCTAAATCAGAACTTGAACCCAGGCAGTCTAGCCCTGGGATCCTGTGCCCTTACCCAGTATCCAGTGGCGGCTACACAGAACTAACGAGTACATGTTTTCAACTATAGTTTAAGGGGGTGACAAATTTTTCACTATATTTTATGTAGGTGACTTTCAGTTTGGGGGTATTCTACTTACACAATCTATTCAGCTGGATATTAACTGAGAACAAACAGAAACTAATGAACTCTGAAAAACATAAAACGTGAGCAACATGATGTCACTGCAAAAGACAAAACAGCACATAGCCTTCTGCTGACTCTATTTTGCTGACAGTCCATGAGCAAATACTCAACCTGAACTCAGCAGTGCTGTTCTCTTGGGACACGCACACACACACACACACACACACACACACACACACACACACACACGAGTTGGTGGTTTTATGCACTGCCCCCCCCTCAACACACACCAGAGTTGGTGGTTGTGCCGCCCAGAGCCTCCAGTCCTTGAGTATGAGGAAAGAACCAGATGGCTCCAGCAGTGCTGGGTCAAGGCGAGGAGGGGGCAGCCCGAAGCGCGCGCATGCTCTGGACTGGTTGCACCAGCCGAAATGGGTGCCCACGGGCCGCCAGGGGATGAGGGGTGAGGGGTAAGGGGTGAGAGGGACGGGGGCGGGGGCAGCCTTTCCCAGGAGGTAACGGGGGTGGTGGTGCTGTTGCCCTTTTAAGCTGCGGCTTGACAGGAGTAGCGCCTCCCGTCGGTGGAGTCGGTTACAAGGGGAGCAACCGCCCAGGCCGCCACGCAGCTCCCCGGAAGGGCCTCGGTGCCCCTTGCCATTTTCCAGCCCTGCTCCGACTACAGTCGAGGCAGCGGGGAGAGGCGGAGCCGCGACAGCGCCACCGAGCGGTCCGCCCTGTGGTCGCGGCCATGACAGTGGCTCCGGACCGGCTCACCTTAGGCGCCCTTCCCTCCGGAGATGAGGGTAAGATGTCCTTGTCAGGGTTCAAGGCCAAGCTGAAGTTGCTGGCCTCCATCTTCCACAAGAACCAGGACCCGCCGCCTCAGCTCACCCTCCACTGCAACATCAAGGTGAGGTGCCCAGCGCGGCCTCACGGGGCAGGGCGAGGGCGGAGAGGAGGCGCCCGAAGTCCCGGGTCAAAGGGGAGCCTGTCCAGGAGAGGCCCCGTTTTCCCGGGCAGGGCGAGCGGGAAACTGGCCGCAACTGGCCCTCCCGCAACTGGCCCTCCCGGATTCCCGGGACTGCCGGAGGCTTGAGTGGAAGGAGGTGGAGGGGGCGTCTCTCTGACTCCTTGCGCGGGGCTGGCTTGGGGGCTGCTGGCACCTCTCGCCCCCGTCGCCGTCCCCCGAGGTGCGAACCCTCGTCGCCTGCAGCCCTTTTGGGGCCCATGATCGCCCTCAGTCAGCCGGCCTGCTCCCCGGGATTGCGACGGGGCGTGGCAGAGCGGCTCCAGCTGTTGTTTGAGCCCAGGCAGGGGAGGGGAAAGGCCTTTAAGATTATTGGTTTTTTGACCAGGCGCAGTGGCTCATTCCGGTAGTGCTAGCAGTTTGGGAGGCTGGGGCTGGTGGATCACCTGAGGTCAGGAGTTCTAGACCAGCCTGGCCAACATGGTAAAACCCTGTCTCTACTAAAAATACAAAAGTGAGCTGGGCATGGTGGCAGGTGCTTGTTGAGATGGAGCCTCTCACTCTGTCGCCCAGGCTGGTGTGCAGTGGGATGATCTCGGCTTACTGCAGCCTCCTTCTCTTGACAGTCCATTGCTTCAAGCGATTCTCCTGCCTCAGCCTCCCGAGTAGCTGGGATTACAGGCGCCCGCCACCACGCCTGGCTAACTTTTGTGTTGTTTAGTAGAGACGGGGTTTCGCCATGTTGGCCAGGCTGGTCTCAAACTCCTGACCTCAAATGACCCACCTCTGCCTCCCAAAGTTGTGGGACCCACCGCGCCCAGACCCAAGGCCCTTAAGTGTAAAGGCCTCATTCTTCAGTCAGGTTTTCCTTGTTCCTGCATGTTCAGCCAATCGTTTTTAAGTTTGTGTTTAAGGAGAAACTAACAATGAAAAGGGACTCCTTGAGGGAGGAAAAGTTGGAATGCAGCCTCTGGTGCTGTTTGAGCGATCCCTCTCCCCAGGGCCCGGCCAGGCCCCTGCTGTCTTCTGGAAAGGCGCATTGTACCCTGGTTGCTGCAGGTAAGAGTCCTGTACAGGCGCTCTGCCCGCTTTTCCTTACAGGCTTTTGTATCAGCTATTTTTCCCTTATAGAACGTGCCCCTGACAGCCACCCCCAACCCTACCCAATTTGGCTTTGCATGTCTGACCATCAAGGCTCTTCTGGGTCATATTTAGTTCATGCTGATATTTCCCCTTCCTCCCCTCTTTCGTCCTTACTATTTTTGCTTTGGTCATGTTATGTTGTGTTCTGTAAGGCTTTAAAAAAGGTTTATAGTGGCAGGGGAGAATGTTTTATAATTATGCTTTGTGCTTTTTATCTCCCACTCAATAAATGCTTGGGAAAGATTTGTTTTATTGAATGTCTGAGCCTATTCTAGCTATCTTGTGCTTGAACAAAAATCTTAACTGCCTTGTAAGTTAACTGCTAAGACTTTGTCAAAAGTGCAGAGATAACATCAAGAACTTGTCATGGATAGTACAAAAAGGTCTCTAAGGGCTTGATTGAAGTCTGTAAATTGACTTCATATGAAAGAGAGTGTAAGAAGTGAAAATGTAAAGCATGACTGGAGAGCCGGAGTGATGAAGCCAGGGACCCTTTCTCCAGATCCTTTGTAACAGTGTTATGTCATCTCTTCTAGAAGATCGTTCTGAAAGATAATGCCAGCTCGGAACCTAGGAAACCCTCCAGTGAGTTTCTGCAGCTTAGATGGTACAAATCCTCATTACACCGTTGCTTGCTCTGCCTCAGCTTGCTTACAATGATGTTCTCAGTATCTGTAATTGCTGTCTGTCTTTGAATCCTTAAGCATTTTTTTTAGATGACAGGGATATATGTGCATTTTTATTTTACCAAGTGTTAGAATTTCTACTCTGCTTTTGTGGGCTCTGGGTTAGCTACTTGGTTATTGTAAAATGATTAGCAGGGAAAACCGTGTGTGTCTGTGTCTGTGTCTGTGTGCGTATTTTAAGTTTATATTTTTTTTCAGAGGACTTAGAATTTCATTTTATATGATAATTCTGTCAATTTACTTTATTCTCCACCCCACATTTATTGAACAGCAAAGTATGAAAGTAATGTGTCGCATAACCGACCTTCAGAAGAATTACAACTGCTGTGTATCTGAAATTCATTTTATTATTATTATTATTATTTTGAGACAGAGTCTCACTCTATCACCCAGGCTGGAGTGCTGTGGTGCAGTCTTGGCTCACTGGAACCTCGGCCGCCCAGGTTCAAGTGATTCTACTGCCTCAGCCTCCTAAGTAGCTGGGATTACAGGCACCTGTCACCGCACCTGGCTAATTTTTGTAGTATTAGTAGAGATGGGTTTCACCATGTTGGCCAGGCTGGTCTTGAACTCCTGACTTCATGATCTGCCTGCCTCAGCCTCCCAAGGTGCTGGGATTACATGCGTGAGCTACTGCACCTGGCTGAACTTTCAAGAAGAAGTTTGTGCATTAGTTTTCAAAAAATCATGATATCAAAAGATAGCTGTGCCCTACATTTGGAAAGATACAAAAACACATACTGACAGGCATTTTTGCTTGCTGGTGCTTGAGGTAGAGCCACACATTGGTCTCAGTGGATTTATGGAGAAAAATAGATACAGAAAGTTATTTCTAAATAAGACCAAAAAATCCTTTCTTAAGCAGTGACAGGTAAAGAAGTTGTCCTGGCCAACCTTCAATTGTGTTGTCCTTGATTGAGACAGTTGTATGGTGGGGATGGTAGTGGTGATAAACTTCTTTGAAATTTGTGTGCTTATAGTAACCTTTGTGGTAGCTGTCACAGACAACTTCATCCTCACAGGCCTTGAAATTACTATAATACTAATAGAATGGAGAAGAAACAAAGGACCTGAATACTTAGATGCTTAAATAATTGTTCTGTGTTTTCATAAACGGTGAAAAAGAACAGTGTTAGAATCAGTTAAACATTCCATGTAAGGAACACTGCCTGAATTTATATTGCGATTTTTGAGCATCATTTACTGTTTAAAAACTGGCATATTGTAGGTCATATTTTAAAGACAAATAGAACACTTATCTTTTCAAGATGGTTATAAAGCTTAACCTTATCAAAATTACAACATGTAAAGCATATGCTTGAAAAATATTAATGCATAGGTTTAAATGTTGGTCATCATTTTAGTTGTCTTTCAAAATAGATTGTCTCTTAAATATTAAACTGAGCAAACATGGAACATGTTGTAGAGTTTGTGCTTAGGGTGAAGTTTCCTGGGGTGATGGATATTTTATAATATGGATAACAAAAACTTCTTATTTTAAGAAATTTAGAAAATTTTTAGGCAAAACTACAAAATCATACCAATAATTCTACCACTCAGAATGTACCACCACCAGAATTTTGTATCTTTCCAGTCCTCTGGTCATCTCTTTTCTCCTATGCTTATATGTGTTCCCTCTCCCTTAAAAAAATCAGATTTTTTTTTTATAATCTGCTTTTTCACTCAACAATATTGTAGATCCATGTCATAAGTTACTCCTCTACACAGTGCCTTCAGTTATTCTGTGGTTGTGTTGGATGACTATACCATCTAGTCATTCGTGTTTCCTGATACTGAATACATAGAGGTGAGTGAGTGAGTGTGTGTGTGTGTGTGTGTGTGTGTGTGTGTGTGTGTGTGTGTGTGTTTTCTACCTTAACTAATGCTTTGGACATCAATAGGTAGAGCTAAATCCTTGAAACCTTCCAAGAGGTGGCTTTCAACTCTCATTGCTGAATTGATTTCTAGAGATGGAACAAATTATATTGTATGGAAAAAATTTTTTTTGAGATGAAGTCTCGCTCTTGTCACCCAGGCTGGAGTGCAAAGGCGTGACCCTGGCTCACTACAACCTCCACCTCCCAGGTTCAAGTGATTCTCCTGCCTCGGCCTCCTGAGTAGCTGGGATTACAGGTGCCTGCCAGCATGCCCAGATAATTTTTCTATTTTTAGTAGAGATGAGGTTTCACCATGTTGGCCAGGCTGGTCTGGAACTCCTGACCTTGGGTGATCCACTCTCCTTGGTCTCTGAAAGTGCTGGGATTCAGGTATGAGCCACCACACCCAGCCTTTTTTTCTTCTAGGTACCAGCTTCTACTTATGAGATTGGTAAAAATGTTAGAAAGTGTGCAATGAAATGGGCGTTCTCACAGTCATGGCAGAAAGTATAGTTATCTTTGACTTTCTAAAAAGCAGTCTGGCATTCTAGAAACTTGCCTAACCTCTTCCCATTTAGGCAAGATGAATTCTGACCACCCCTCAGTGGCCAATCTTGTCCCTGTGATTCCATATCTCCCAGAAAGAGAGGTCTAGTCTCAGGGAAAACCCAGATTTGCTTGGCTTAGCCCACCTGACAGCTAATCACTGGAAATGGGGTGGGCTGGTCGAGTCCTTTGGTCAGGTTTTGTGTCAAGAGAGGGATGTGGAAAGATGGGAGAGAAGTAGCAAAACTGGCCTCAATGGAACTAAGTAAGTTAACATAGAATGACAAAGGAATATTTCTTCCAAGGAAGAAATTCTAGGGAAGGAAGAAAGTGGAGGGGAAGGCAGCAGTTCTCAAAGTTTTGGGATCAGGATTCCTTCACACTCGTAAAAATGTATTGATGGCCCAAGGAGCTTTTGTGTATGTAGGTTGTATCTATTGGTATTTATCACTAGAAATTAAATCAGAAATATTTAAAATATTCTTTAACAGCTCACCAAATTGTTATAAATGCTTTTATGAAAAGAAAATTTCTAAACCCAAAGTAGTACAATCTTATATCTTTTGCAAATTTCTTTGATGTTTGATGTGTCATTTGCATCTGCATTCAATTTATTGTGTGATATTTGCTTGCAAAAATGTGAAGACAGGCCAGTCTCATACAGATAGCCATTTTAGATCATTGTGGATATTTCTTATTTATTTTTTTTGAGACGGGGTCTTGCTGTGTTGCCCAGGCTGGAATGCAGTGGTATGATTACAGCTTACTGGAGCCTCAGTCTCTGGGGACTCACGTGATCCTCCTAACTTAGCTTCCAGAGTAGTTGGGACTACACGTGTGTGCTACCACACCTAGCTAATTTTCTTTGTATTTTTTGTAGAGAGTAGAGACAGGGTTTTGGCGTGTTGCCTTGGCTTCTTTTTTGATACTCCATCAAAACTTGATTTTTCTTGAACTTTGGATCTTTTACCTGGCATGATATTATAACATCATGCATTGGTCACTTTAAAAATAATGGTTCACCGAGATCTTCCATATGTTGAAACATTTGATTGTAAGGTATCAAAATACGTACATCAATATCACCATCCATCTCATCAGAATACTTTTGGAAAGTGATAGTGGATATACATTTTCTAAAATTCTAATTTTTTTCCAAAAGCTTGAGTTTTACTATTAGCAATTTTATTGTTGAATTTTATTATGGCCTCTCTGTTGTTTTGCCTTTTCTTTCAAGGGTCTGTAAGTCTGCAGTAAAAGTCAAAGGTATTCAAAAAGGAACTTTTGTTTCTGTTTTTAGTTTATAAAGAAATGTAACTTTCCATGTTGGAAAAATTTTAAAAAAATTTTTTTATTATAAAACACATGAGCAACCATTGTTGAGAAAATTTGCAAAGTACAGAAAAGAAAAAAGAAACAAAATAAAGTCTCCCATAATTTCTCTACCTAATATAACCACTATTGACAGTTGACATGATGGCCATTTTCTATCGGTATATGTTTTTTCTTTGCTGGTAAAATACATAACTTTTATACATATATTTAAATAACTGAGGTTGTATTGTGTATAGTTTTATGCTTTTTTTTTTTTTTGAGATGGAGTCTTGATCTGTCACCCAGGCTGGAGTGCAGTGGTGTGATCTGAACTCACTGCAAGCTCCCCCTCCTGGGTTCACACCATTCTACTGCCTCAGCCTCCCCAGTAGCTGAGACTACAGGCACCCACCACCATGCCCAGCTTATTTTTTGTATTTCTTATTAGAGGCAGGGTTTCACCGTACTAACCAGGATGATCTCAATCTCCTGACCTCGTGATCTGCCCGCCTCAGCCTCCCAAAGTGCTGGGATTGCAGGCATAAGCCACTGCGCCTGACCCTTTTATATTCTTTTAAAAAGTATTTACTGTATTTCCCCATGATGTCATAGTCTTTATATAAAAATGACAATCATTATTTTCAGTCAACATGATTGTTTACCTAAAAATATCCAAAGGAAACAACTGAAAAAAAACAGTTTTTAAGATGACTGGTTAAAAGCTCATTTATATAAAAACCTATAGCCTTCCCAAATGTTAGCTATAATCACATAGAAGATATAGTGATGAAATATATTTTCAGGTATTTCAGCAAAAATTAAATATCTAGGAATAAACTTAGATGTGCAGGACTTTTATCAAGGACATGACAAAATTTTGCTGAGTGGAATCAAAGATTTGCATTCTATGTTCCTGGATGAGCAGATTTCACGTTATAAATATGTTAGTTATCACCATGTCTTCATATTAATTTATAAATGTAATTTCTGCTGGGCACAGTGGCTCATATGTGTAATCCCAAAAGTTTGGGAAGCTGAGGTGGGTAGATGACAATTAGCTGTGTGTCTGTGGCACACACTTGTAGTTCCAACTACTCCTGGGAGGATCACTTGAGCCTGGGATTCAGAGGTTGCAGTGAGCTGAGATCGTGCCTCTGAACTCCAGCCTAGATGACAGAGTGAGACTCTGTCTTAAAAAAAAAAAAAAAAAAGTAGTGAGTGTGTACATACATATTTACAAATTTCATACAAATTCCAGCAGATTTATTTTTGGCACTTGACGAAGTGACTCTAAAGTTTGTTTAGAAGAGTAAATAAAAAAAAGTAATAAAGTATAGACTCTCAACCAGATATTAAATAAAATATTGTGGACTAGCCCTGGGCCAGACACATAAAGGCAATGGACGTTTAGAACCAGAGTCATGCAAAAGAGAATTTAGTATAAGGAAAAGATGGTATTTTAACTTATTTGTCAAAATAAGTTAGAGTTGGTTTAAACACATCTATTCTGAAAATTAGAACAGAAGAACATCGGTCTGAAGATATTTTAAGAGTGAAGGCTGAGGCTGGGGACATTGGCTCACGCCTTTAATCCCAGCACTTTGTGAGGCCAAGGTGGGAGGATTGCTTGAGCCCAGGAGTTTGAGATCAGCCTGGGCAACAAAGCAAGACTCTCCCTCTCTCTAGATATAGACATACCTATAAATATACATATACAAATACAAAAAAAAAAGAGTTAAGTTTTGTCTGGAGAGCCATGAAGATAAGAGGTAAAAATTAAAGGCTTGATGGACACATGTTTGCATCTCCAGCAAGGGGGTTGATGGGAACGAATGATAGACAAAGCTCCAATACTGCTACCTCCTTTTAGGAAGTTGCTTCTGAACATGTAAAGATAATAGTTTTATAATAGCAGAAATGAGTTATTTTTCAGTGTCTAAAACTTTACATGAGATACATACATAAACATGTTCATAAAGTTAAATGAAGTAGCATACAAAATTGGGCCTAGTGTTTTAAAAAGTAAATATATTTACATGAAAGAGAAAACAACTCACCTCCCACTCTTAGAGCCTCTGCCAGTTTACCATAGCCTAGTTTCTCGAGAGAATAAGCTACAAGTCTTCACCTTTTTTCACTGAGCTCATTATAATCTGGATTCTGCCTTCATCATGGTGCTAAAATTTATCTCCCAGTTGCCAAAACTGGTGGCTCCCTTCTTAGTCCCCAAAATGACCCCTCTGCAGTATTTTGATACTGTTGATTGTTCCCTTGTTGAAACATTCCTCCATTCTTAATGTCCACCAATAAAGAGTTGGTTAAATAAAAATTATAGTGTACATTTTATAACAGTTGTGGACCAAAAAAATGCAGCCATTCTTTCCATAGAGCATGTGCAAACTTCTAAGATATATTCAGTAAAAAAAATAAGGCATAAAATATTGTTTATAATCTGACCCCTTTAGTATACACTGTAAAAAATCTCTATGTCTGTGCTTGTTTCTACTTACTTTTTTTCTCCCCTGGTGGATACAGGAAATTCTGAATAGTAGAACACAATTAAAAAAAAAAATGTGTGTCTTCTCTGCCAGGACCTGTGATAATTTGGTATAAAAGACAAAAAAGGCATGTCCCTGTCCTCTTTTTCTTTATTTTTGGTAGCCTCATTAATGCATTAATGCTCTCTTGTTTGAAGTTGTAAGTTTGTAAGGAAACAAGGTAGCAATGAGAAATTGGACAATGTCTGAAACTTCCTTCCTCTGTCTTTATTGTTGTCATTCTGCTAGGTATCAGTTGTAGTGATTATACCCCAAGCAATAGTAACTTTCTTAAACTAGACGCTCCTGAAAATATTTTAAAGAGTTTTTATCAATCTGTAAGCTGCAGTTGAGCAGTAACAAACTTTTTTATTTCCTCCTGGATTGATTACCATAGATATAACATTATTAATGTCTTCTAAGGGCTCTTTAACATAATGCTTATTTACTGAAATGTGTTTTGTAGTTTCATCAGCAATTGAAGTGGTTGATATGTGAACTCTGCAGATTATATAACCTTCTTAAACACCTGGATGTTGAGATGCCAGATCAACCACTACCCATGGGTCAGGTAAAGTAAAAATTCTCTAGTGTTCAACAGATAAAATAAATTGTCTCAAGCAAAAGTCAAACTAGGATGATTTTTTTATTGCTCAACTTATTTAGAAGTTAGTTTTTCTGTTCCTATTGAATTGTTCTGTTTATTCTGTTTTAGATACTAAAAATAACCTTTTCATTCTTTGGAGCTGTTGGTATTTAGTATGACAGGCAACAATTGCCCTTTTCCCTAACACCAGCTTTTTGTTGTGAATATTCTTGGTGTCCATAAATGTTCTTGCTTCTTTCATTGTTTGTCTTTTCTCAATGAATTACCTTCACCTAGAAATGCCATCTCCTTAAGTCTGTCTATGCTTCTTAAGGACTTGCCCAAATGTTGTTTCCTGCAAGCGACAGAAATCTCCACTAGGTCACCACTACCCCTAACTTCTTCCTGGGTGTACCTATTTAGACATCAGTTATTGACATTTTAGTATAAGGATATTTCTTTTCATGGTCCTGCCTTTTGTTTTGCAGTGTCTTCCTCATAGTAGTAACTTTTAATTTAAAAAACTCTGTCATATCCCTTTCTCTGAGATCTCCTTCTCTTCCAAAGCCTTTGGCTCCTCTGTGCCCACTTTGGCATGGTTGTTCTTTGGGTTGGCTGTGCAGATGTCATCTTGAGGTTTTTCTCATCTGCTCTCCTAGAGTAGATCCATTGTTTCCTGGATCCCATGTCATCTTTCTTGGCTTTCCCTTTGTCATTTTCCCTGACTGTGTCCTCCAGTAAAACCCAAAGGAAGCATAGAGTGGCATATTTTCTGATCTCTAGCTTCTGAAAAAAAAATGCAATGCAGTGTTTGGATTTTGGAGTCAGTCGAGATAGATTTGAATCTTGGTTCTACTACTTATTAGCTGTATGCCCTTGGGCTGATTCCCTAAGTGCTCTATGCATCAGTTTTCCATTTGCAAAATGAGGGAGCCAGCAATAGTATTAGTACCTATGTTTCTAGGGCGCTATGAGAATTAAACGAGTTGGTACGTGTAAACCATTTAGAACAGTGCCTGGTGCATAGCACATCCCCATCACTATTCACTTTTGTTATAATCTACCCTCACACTTGATTGATAGTTTGGTTGATTATGTATTTCTAGGTTGAGGATAATTTTGCCTTAGAATTTCAAAGTCTGTGCTGTTGTCTTCTAACCAGTCATGGTGGTGAAGCCTCATGTCATCCTGAGTGTCACTCATTTAGGTATGACTTTCTCTCTGGAAGCTTTTAGGATTTTGTCTTTTCCTTGGTGAGCTGAAATAGCACAACATTGTACTTAGGTCTTTTTTCATTCACTGTGCTGGGTACACCAAATGGATAGGCCTATGGATAGGCTCTTTCAAAGTTGGAATCTTGAATCTTGTCATATTTTTGTTAACTTTCTCCTTTCCATTTTATTTGATCATTTTGAGGCATCTGTTAATTGGATTTTAGACCTCTTGTCTTGACTCTTGTATCTCATGTTATTTCTAATTTTTTTTTTAAATTTTAAATTCTGGAATTTTTTCTTATCTTTTGACTTGTAGGAAATGTTATTTGGACAGTCAAAACTTTAAGTTTTGTTTTGGTTATTTATTGTTGCTTAACCAATTTTCCCAAAACTTAATGGCATAAAACTACACATTTATCTCTCTGTCACTACCGTATGGGTTAACTGGTGATAGCTGGACAGTTTTTCTGCTGGTTTCATTTGGCATCTCTCACTGTGTGGTTAGACGGTGTCAGGGACTGGTCATCTGGATACTCAGGCGCAGTGGAATGTCTGAGACAGCTTCTTCACCCACAGGTCTGCCGCCTTGGTGTTTCTTCATGTAGCCTTCCTCTCTGCCTAGCATCTCGTGCTCTGAGGCCTCTTCATGTGGCTTCTCTTTCTCCAAGAAGATAGTCAGTACTTATTTTGGCTTCCAGAAGCACACAAGTGGAGCTGCCAGGTGTTCTTCAGACTTAGACCTGGAAAGGTTCAGTGTCATTTCCAGCAAATTCTCTAGGCTAGAGTGAGTCTTGGGGCCAACACAGATTCACTGTGGGATGGGCCTGTCCAAGGACATGACGACAGGAGGTGTGGCTCATTGGGGACCAACTCCCAAGATGAACCCTGAGTTCTAAGAACATTTTCTTTTCTGATTATTCCTTATTCATATTCTATTTTTGTTTTATTCATGTAATATATTCACAAGTGTCTTTATGAAGTGATTTTGACACTCTTTTGTCTTCTCCCTAGCATCTCTTTGTTCTTTAATAAATTTTTTCTTAGTTTATTATTTGTCTTATTTTTCTTTTTAAAGCCTTTCCTTAAATTTTATCTATTCTATGTTGCTTATCATTTGTAGTCTTCTTTTTTTTTTTTCTGTTTTGAGACAGAGTTTCACTCTTGTTGCCCAGGATAGAGTACAAAGGCGTGATCTCGGCACACCGCAACCTTTGCCTCCTGCGTTCAAGTGATTCTCCTGCCTCAGCCTCCTGAGTAGCTGTGATTACAGGCATGTGCCACCATGCCTGGCTAATTTGTGTATTTTTATTAGAGACAGGGTTGCTCCATGTTGGTCAGGCTGGTTTCCAATTCCCAACCTCAGGTGATCTGCCCACCTAGGCCTCCCAAAATGCTGGGATTAAAGGCCTGAGCCACAGTGCCCGGTCTGTGTGTTTTTTTTTTTTAATTCCTTTTTTTGTTCATTCATATCTGAGAGAGATACTAAAAGACTGGGAGGCTGGGTGTGTCAGCTCACACCTACAATCTCAGTACTTTGGGAGACTGATGTTGGAGGATCACTTGAGCCCAGGAGCTCAAGACTAGTTTGGGCAATGTTGTGAGACCCGATCTTTACAAAAAATAAGTGAAAATAATAGCCAGGTGTGGTGACCCCCACCTGTAGCCCCAGCTACTTGGGAGGCTGAGGCAGGAGGATCGCTTGAGCCTGGGATGTTGAGGCTGAAGTGAGCTGTGATCATCCTGCTGCATTCCTGCATTCCAGCCTGGGTAAAAGAGCAAGACCCTATCTCAAAAATAAAAAATATATAAATTAATTAATTAAATAAATAAGTACTAATAAAAAACTTTAAAAATTGATTGGGAATTCTTCATGGCCAAGATTTGGCAACTGATAGCTTTTAGGGGGAATATATGCTGATTCCTGATTGTTTTCCTCTAACGCTCTTTCTTATCTCCCGGTGCAATCATAAATGATGGCTGGAACTACTCCATTCCTCTGGAGATGAAATCTGCATTCTCTTGTCTGAGGTAGATATGTTTGCTTGGGTTCTGCTTAAGGAGATGGGGGAGAGCAGTGCATTTCAGTGCCTGAAAAATGTGTTCTCTATATAGGCTTTTGGTTAATCTCTGTTTTCAGTCTTGCCTGTCAGTCCCACCCTTGGGGATACCTGGTGTCTGAGTCGAGAACCTTTCTAGGTTGCTGTGGGACAAATTAGCTTCCTTGTTATCGGTATCCCCCTGACCTCCACTTTTGTTTGCTTTGCTCGACTAATTAACCATTTTCCATTTACTGTCATTGTCTAATGGAGGTGAATTCTCTTCTGTTGGTAATCCCATTTCTTTTTTTGTAATTGTGTGTTTATATAATGTTTCTTCTTCACTGTATTTCTAGAGGAGCCTCAGGACAAAGAGCAGATGGTGGAAATATGTGTTCAGTGTTCAGTTTTTTTCTGTAAGACATTTGCAAATTGTGTTTTCACGAAATATCACACGGACTTAATGCATATAGAGCTACCTTGTATTTCATGATTGTGCCTACAATTCTATGGAGAAATATAATTTGTGATTTACCTGATGAAATTTTCCTAATTTTGAATCATCCTTGCATTCTTATAATAAACACTGTAAGAATGGCTATGGTAATATTTCATTTTTGCATTTTTACTTCTATATTAAATAAGGTTATATTTTGTTTGTTTCCTTTAAGGCTCTTATTTCATTTCAGTATCAAGGGTATGCAGGGATAGCTTGGGAAGGTTTACATCTTTTTTCTAAGACCTAGGATGTAGATCTAGTCTGCACAGTAATTTTCAACTACAGGAATATTATGCCTCCCATGGGATGTTTGGAAATATCTGGAGACATTTTTGTGGTCACAACTGGTCATGCTTGGGAGGTCTTATTGGCATTTCGTGGGTAGAGGGGATATTACTAAATGTGCCACAACACAGCAGGAGAACCCTCCACAAAGAATTGTCTGGCCCAGTATATCAATATTGCTGAGGCTGACAAACGCTGGTTTAAATGAACGTCCAATTTGGAAGATGAGTCTTTGTCTTTTCCTTCTTCTGCGTATTGGTCTCCAGATTTTCCATTTCTTCAGTTAGTTTTCGTAACTGTAGATTCTTAAAAGAAATGAACACTTCATCCATACTTCTAAGGTGTTATAAAGATGTGTAAAGTTTTCACTTTTTGCATCATATTCACATGTGGCTATATACCCTTTTCTCTTCAAAGTTTTCTTTATCTTGATCACTTTTCAGAGGCATGACTCTTTTATTATCTTAGTCTTTTGAAAGAATCCTCCTTTCAAAATAAATATTTTTTATTTTATTAAAAAATAAAATGGTGGTTTTTTTAAAATTTAGTGGGGTGTTTTTCACTTTTTCCTTAGGTCTTCATTATTTTCCCTTTTTATTTTGCTTTTTCTAGTGTACTGGATCAAGGTAATTTAAATTGATTTTTAAACATATAAGGGTATACACTTCCTTTGGGTGCTGTTTGACTTTATTGCACAAGTTTTAAAATCTATTTTCTAAATAGTTTGTATTTTCTAAGTCATTTTATTGCAACCTCTGTTCACATTGCTGTTACTACTAAAACTTTCTGTTGGCCAGGCATGGTGGCTCACGCCTGTAATCCCAGTATTTTGGGAGGCCAAGGCAAGTGGATCACCTGAGGTCGGGAGTTTGAGACCAGCCTGACCAACATGGAGATAGCCCATCTCTACGAAAAATACAAGAACTAGCCAGGTGCGATGGTGCATGCCTATAATCCCAGCTACTCGGGAGGCTGAAGCAGGAGAATCGCTTGAACCCAGAAGACAGAGGTTGCAGTGAGCTGAGACCATGCCACTGCACTTAAGCCTGGAAAACAAGAGCAAAACTCCATTGAAAAAAAAAACAAAAAAACAACAACAAAAACAAAAAAAACCTTTTCATTGTGAGATATGACATGTATGGAAATTATATAAAACATAAGCTTAGTATAACATATAGTTAGAGTCAGTACTTGGGAACCAACACCTAGCCAGCACCGAGGTGAAGAGAAGGCACATTGCTTGCACTACAGAAACCTTCTGCAGGCTGCTTCCCAATCACCATGCCTCTGTACACTTCGTCTTGCCTTCTGTTTTTCTAGTGTTATCACTCATGTATGCATCCTTGAACAATACAGTGTAGTGTTGCCTATTGTTTGAACTTTTGAAAATCATAATATATGTATTTTTTCATCTCTTTGTTGTGCTCAACATTGTGTATGAAATTTGTTCCTATTGTGTGTAGCTATAGTTCTTTTGCATTGCTGTATTTATTCCATTGTTTGAAAACACCATACCATTTATTCCCTAGACTAGATACAGACACGTGGGTTGTTTCCCATGTTATTAGGAAGAGCAAATGCTGCTATGATCATTTTAATCTATATTTAATGGTACCCCTGTGCCAGCATTTCTCTGGGGCACGTACTTAGGAGTTGGATGACTGAGGCATGAGGATCAATTTCTTCTTTTACCCAAGACTTATCCAGGAAAAAAAAAATTTTTTTTAAGAGTTTTCAGGTGGCTTTTGAGGTATTTTAAGTGCATCAATATGGTCAGAGAATTTGGCCTGTGACCTTTCAGCTAGATTATCAGCAATCATTTAGACTTCACAGTTGGCGTTACTGTTGTCTTTGCTTATTGCTACTTCTTGTATTATGTCTCCTGCTCCCTGCCCCTCAAGTATATCCCTGAATAATATCCTGGGGTTTTTTTTTCCCCCTAGAAAGGGTTTGTGGGGATGTGTATGGAGTGTGTTCCATGAACTTGCTGTGTGTTATCACTTGTTCAACAAATATTTGATTCTGTATGAAATACTCCATCCATATCAGTGTGGAGAATCCCGAGGCAAACATACACAGATATGATTCCTGTCTTGATGGAGCTAGATATAGAATTCTGAGGTCATAATTGAGTTTCTATCCAGGTCTTTACACTTTTATGTTCTGATATTTATTGTTATAGATGGAAAGTCTCATGCCTATCTGTTTTGTAGTTCTTTCTGATAGTTAGTATGATTTTCTGTGTAACTGTAAACTGTGGGGTTTTAATTTTTTTTTTTTTTTTTGAGAGGAATTCTTGCTCTGTCACCCAGGTTGGAGTGCAGTGGCACGATCTTTGTTCACTGCAACCTCCACCTCTCAGGTTCAAATGATCCTCCTTCCTCAGCCTCCTGAGTAGCTTGGACTACAAGCATGTGCCACCATGCCTGACTAAATTTTTGTATTTTCAGTAGAGACAGGGTTTCACCGTGTTAGCCAGGATGGTCTCGATCTCCTGACCTCGTGATCTACCTGCCTCAGCCTCTCAAAGTGCCAGGATTACAGACATGAGCCACCCTGAATGCTTTGCTGGGTCAAGTCCATTGTGCTCTGGCTCTTCTACTCGTGATTTTTTTTGGTTGTTTGTTTTTTGGATGGGATGGTTTTTGGTTTATTTTTGTTTGTTTGTTTTGGTTTAGGGGTCTTATTTTTACCTCCTAGAATTGTCTTTTGCATTGTAATCTGTTTTATATTTTGTGGATACAGTATCTTCTCAATTACTGCTAAAGGTTCCAATTAGGTTTTACAATTCTGTTTATTTCCTTCATTAGCAGTGCTTCAGGTCATTTGTGCTTCTTTGACTTGGCACCTTCCTTTCAGGTTGCTAATTTTCTTCAACTCTCTGATGATACATGGTTATCTGTTCATATATACATGAGGTATACCTTTGAGCAGTATCAGTTGTTATGAATGTCTTCAGAATTGTCACTCTTTTCTGCTGTGGCCTCCCCCTCCTGGTTTGCAGACCTGTGCTCTTCCTGTGGCATGAGGATGGGGAGGTGCTGGCCGGTGAGCTTTCCAGATTTTGAACTAAAAGGAAGAGCAGAATCTGTTATAAGATTTTGCTGCTGCATTGAGTTATATTAAAAAACGTTCTGTCTTTTCTCTCTGGTTTTGACACTGATAGTAAGAGACCTTCAAGATAGGCTTCCTATTAGCGGAGTGATCCTTACCAACTATAGCTGGGACAAGTACGGTGAAGAATGTTTGATTCTTCCAACAGAATTGGTCCCTCCATTATTTGGATTG